TTCAAAATCAGAACAATAACATGGAGGGATTTCAATGGTAATAATATTATTTTACATCATTCTCATTATAAATGTATTAGTTTCAGCTCGCAACTTGTTTGAGCTTTCCAGCTCAATAGAATAAAGTCTAGTTTGCCCATTTCCCGCAACAGATATGCACAAAATTAAAAGAATATCAACTGGTAAATGAACAATTAGATTTGATGAATTTCAATGTATGAATTCCAAACGGATAATAAAAAATGACAAATGTCTGCATTTTCATGCCAAAATCAAAACCAAATAATGAATTTAAATGAAATGCAAAAGAGAAATGTTTTTTTAGTCAACAGGGTAACGCAGTGTTTACTGTTGCCTGTTAGGATGATTAACTCACCCCGTACTTCTAGATAAGGGCTGTTGGTCTAGAATACATATGAAGTTCGCTCAATTAAGACGGATGGTGGTGACGTTCCTGATGAAGGCTCTTTATCTTTGTTAGCAGTTAGCTTCTCATTGAAATTGGGATTTCAAAGTGAGTTGAATATAATTTAAAATAGATTATCTGGTGCAGACGTCACGTGCATGAACACAGTGCACAGCCTGCCGCTGCAGGAAGCAGACAGTTCAGCATGTTTTCTACACTGATGGGTCTTTTGCGATGATACCATCCACTTTCACCAATAATGGGTCCCAAACATTTTAAAGTGACAGTTCAGATATTTAAAAGTGGGGTTTTTGGAGGGAAAAGTTTTGGTTAATAATATCTTGTTGTAGATAACACTTTGAATAACAGCAACTTGTAGAAATAAACATTAGTCCTGATTGGACAGATGAGCTAGCGACTGTGGGCCAAATCCATACCATACCATGCCATACATACCATACCATACCATGCCATACCATACCATGCCATACCATACCATACCATGCCATACATACCATACCATACCATGCCATACCATACCATACCATACCATACCATACCATGCCATACCATACCATACCATACCTTTATTTATAGAGCACTTAAAAGAGCAACAAGGTCAACCAAGGTGTTGTATAATAGAACAAACAAGCAAAGCACACAGCAAAAATAAAAATAAAGTAAAATGAAAATATAGATATGAATGGAAGAAGATAACTACATGGTTAACATTGTACAATACAGACAGGTTAAAAACAAATCACACAGTGTCAAAAGTTAGGGAATAAAAGTGGGATTTTAAGGGAGACTTCAAACAGTGCGGGAGGGGGACTGCCTGACATGCAGTGGTAACTCATTCCACAGTCTTGGACCTGCAACAGAAAATACCCTGTCACCTCTGAGCTTAAGGCTGGTTCCTGGAACTAAAAGAAGCATCTGATTCGCTGACCTCAGCGATCACTGTGGGACATATGGCTGCAGCAGATCAGCGAGATAAGAGGGGGCAGAACTGTTCAAATCAAAAATTCTAAGTGGACCATCCATCCATCTATCCATCCATCCATCCATCCATCCATCCATCCATCCATCCATCCATCCATCCATCCATCCATCCATCCATCCATCCAAACAAACAAACAAATAAACAAAAAACTATGATCTCACAACTAGTATCCATCCATCCATCCATTATCTTTACCTATTTCTACCTTTTTGGGTCGCGGGGGTCACTGGTGCCCATATCCAGCAGACAGAGGCAGGGGACACCCTGGACAGGTCTCCAGTCCATCACAGGGACACACACATAGAGACAAACGAGACAAACAACCATCCACTCTCTCACTCACACCTAGGGACAATTTAGAGTTACCAATCAGACTAACATGCATGTTTTTGGTCTGTGGGAGGAAACTGGAGTACCCGGAGAAAACCCACGCATGCACGGAGAGAACATGCAAACTCCACCCAGAAAGGCCCCAGGCCAGGATTTAATCTGGCGACCTGCTCGCTGAGAGGCAGCAGCTCTACCAACTGTGCCACCATCATAGCATTTCATGCAATTACTCTTTTATAAACTTGTTTTTGGTTTACCATCAGTTTCAAATTGCACAGTTATTCTGGTCAGACCAACATATAAACCAGACGTGGTAGCTCTGACTATTCCTCTGAAAATAACCATAAACTCTGACATCACTGATCTTGTAATGCTAAATCTTTGGCTGTGCAACGATATATGAAGTAATAAACTCTTATGGTTTTTAAACTGGAGTCTTGTTAAGACGGCAGTAATCCACTCACATTTAGACAAAAACTGTTTTGTGTTTCCTGCCTGGTGTTAAAATGTAAGTCACCAAAGGAAAAAAGAAAATGCGGATTGTTGAGTTTTACTGGTACAAGTGACAGATTTAGTCTAAAAAATGTTGCAATGTAAAAACTAAACCATTGTGTGGCACCACAGTAAATATCAGACAATTTCATAAGGTAGCATTCTTTAAAGGAATATGAAGGAGGTGCATGCATTGGAGATGACTCTTAGCTACTACCTCAACAAATTTTACCTCCATGCCAGTCAAACTTCCTGACTGACAGCGTGGAGTGTGCTGATGTTAATGAGCTGGTGTGGCCTTCTGGAAACAGGCCGACTCTCAAGTTTAATCAGTTGTAGATGAACATTCAGTCATTACTTTCCAAGAGTTTCAATAAAATATACTTAGTGGCTTGTTAGATATTCTACTAACAGAAAAATACACACATGCACGCACAAATACACACACAAACATAGGCAATTACTGCACATGATCACATGTTTCATGGTGTTGAGGAAAAAACAATGTTAGTGAGATGAATGTGACATCAATGTGGGTCTGTCTGCTGCACTGCTGTGGACTAGTTTCAATGAACTGAGGTGAGACGCCGCTGGTGGTCTCAATACTGCTGCAAAAAGTATCTAATTACTAACTTTTAATATTGATTAGCTTCTATTTTTAACAACCCAAACATTGAATTAACCAGAGAATCAGAGGATTGTCTGCACATCCACTGATGAGAGGAGGAACTGGCCCCGTTTAGCTTCTCAGTCTGGAATGAAACTCAACAGGCTGTTAGAAGATATTGATTGTTACAGAGAACCCTACATTAAAATAACCAAAGCATTTACTTCTAAAAGCAGAAATGTTCATTATCAAAAGCCACAGTCTGGAGAAGACAGGAAGAAATAAGTTCAGACTTAAGTACTTTACAGCAGCACATTGTACTTCTTGTTAATTTCTTTGCCTTCGTATGAATTCAACGACAGAATAAAAAATATCTTGGAAAAGTGTTGTAATGTTACAAACAAAGTCCATACTCAATAATCCAGGTGTACAATCCAACATTTTTCAGTCAGGTCATCTGGACGGTTTCATTTTTGTGCTGAAACGTTTCGCCTTCGATCCGGAAGGCTTCATCAGTCAACCAGTTTGACACGACTGTCAACAAGGAAGAGGGCCGGCAATGGAGGAGGGGGCGTACCAAAGAGACCATCTTAGCACCAACATAACTGGTTTGTTCTACTTTGGAGTAAGCTGTTGGGGGAAGAATCAGTTTTGTTGTGTGTTTCCTTGACTGAAGAAGCCTTCCGGATCGAAGGTGAAACGTTTCAGCACAAAAAAAGAAACTGTCCAGATGACTTGACTGAAAAATGTTGTGTTGTAATGCTGATCTTAAACAAATATGCTGAATTTGTTTAATTTTGTGAATTGGACTGTTTATTTTTAAGCTGACAGTATTCTCCATTTTTAGGAGAGAAAATATGACTTTAATGCCATCCATCCATCCATCCATCCATTATCTTTACCCGCTTATTCCATTTTGGGTCACGGGGGTCGCTGGTGCCCATGTCCAGCAATCACTGTGCGAGGGGCGGGGTACACCCTGGACAGGTCGCAAGTCCATCACAGGGCCACATAGAGACAAACAACCATTCACTCTCTCACTCACACCTAGGGACAATTTAGAGTTACCAATCAGACTAACATGCATGTTTTTGGTCTGTGGGAGGAAACCGGAGCACCCGGAGAAAACCCACGCATGCACGGAGAGAACATGCAAACTCCACCCAGAAGGCACCTGGACCGGGGTTTGAACCAGGGACCTGCTCGCTGAGAGGCAGCAGCTCTACCAGTTGCGCCACCGTGCTGCCCTGACTTTAATGCATTTTTTAAAAACATTTTTTAATGTAATACATCTTTTTGTGCAAATGAATATATGATCTGCCAGGTTGATATAAAAACTCTTTGAGAGATCCAATGTTAAGGTAGAAATCATATTTCATTGTAAATTAATGACCCACAATCAACTTATGGCCAAGAACTATCTTCATTTATAGATATTTGTAGACATTTTTCAGGGTACAACTAACTACAAAACCTACACATATTGATAAAATAATCCCTCTCACTGAAATACCCACGCAAAGGCAGAATAATAGTGTAATTTTTTATGTTATTTTATATTGTGCAATGGGGTACCCACACTATACATATATACATACATATATAATCAGGTCTCTCTTGTAAATGAGTCCTCGAGGCTCAGTGGGATTTACCTGTATAAATAAAGGTTGAATGAAAAAAAAACATTTTCAAATATCTCTCTTTTGAACATAAAGGTACTTAAATGCAAACAACAAGAACAAAATAGTAATAACAACAATAATAACCATTATAGTGTTAAGCATTAGAAGTTTTTTCACATTTTGACTTGTGACCATAAACATTATGAATTTGTTATACTGTACTTGAGAAATTTCCAATTCTTGTTCCCAAAAGTACTTGAACAACGAAACCCACATGATTGGTAAAAACAACACAGGACAAAATGAGCAAAATCAATGGGAAAACCTTCAATTACCTTTCATTTTTGATCATGTATTGAACGACATTCATCACAGTGAAATTACAACAAAGTATTGTTCCAAATATAAACAAACAAAAACATCAAATGGATTAAAAACCTGACTTTGAATTGAAATTCACAACTATTTATGGCAAAAACCTCAAACTCTCGAAACTGACACAAAGAACAGCACGAGTTCTGCGCAGAGCGATTTGTCCTCGTCGGCCACCGTATGGTGTCGTGGCGTTTCCTTCCTTCAACGGGTTACGTTTTCACTGTTAGCCAACCTTCCCGGCTTGTGTGGTCTCCTTGTTTTCTTCTACATCTCATATACATTTATTGGTCTAAGTTTGGTCTGTAGGTCGAGATGAGGCGCGCCGGGCTGGGTAAGAAAGTTTTATGATGGTTTGTATGCTAACAACGAGCTAATGCTAGCTTGGTTAATCTTTTGAGACCGAGAACAAAGTATGTGATGATGTGAAATGTAGTCTCGGGGTTATACAAACTGGTTGCCTTTAATAACATTATATTAGGACTCGACAGCTGAGAGCAATCGCTGGTAATGGTTTGCTGTGTTTCGCAGGTGAAGGAGGCTCTGGACATTATGTAGCCAGTGGATACAGTGTTCATGAGGAGGAGAATCAGCACCTTCAGGAGGGACTGAGAGCCAAAGTCACCGCCTTGAAAAGTGTAAATATTCAAGTGCTCATTATGTCAATGCAGATTGCTAAAATCTGACATATATTTTATATTTTACAGCTGTCAATTGACATTGGAACGGAAGTCAAATACCAGAATAAAATGCTAGAAGACATGGTGAGTTTTCACTTTCCTTTAAGCACGCGATTCCAAAAGGCCAAACAGTGATTCAGATACTTTTCATTGTTTAAAATATCGTTTTAGATGCTTTGTTCATGAATTAAGTAGAAATCTTTGGTGTTTCATAATGAAATGTGGCACAAAACAAGGATTATGCAGGACTGTAGAAACAGTTCCAGGGATCTTGTTAGTGGATTTAGCACATTTAATCGTGTCTTTGCAGGACTCAGACTTTGACTCAACGGGCGGACTGCTCGGATCCACCATCGGCAGAGTGAAGCAGCTCTCCAGAGGCAGCCAGACGAAACTGCTGTGCTACCTGCTGCTCTTCTGCTTTTTTGTCTTCTTTGTCCTGTACTGGTTTGTCAAGCTGAGGTGATAAGCGCTCCCTTTTGGACTTGGCCCTTTAGTTCCACATCTGCAGCCCCAGTCTGATGGATGTCAAACCAGATCGGCACAGTAATGGTGGTGATGTAAGGCAGAGAGTTGTTCTAAAAAAAAAAAAAAAAACAGACTTGGCTTTGTGTGCTCAGTGTCTGAGCAGTCCACGCAATGACCCCCATTTGGGTTGCAAAAAAACTCATTGATGCTCGTCTGGAAAATTACATGTAGTGAAAAAGATATGAGACAAAAAATGACAAACGCAGTAATATTTGTATTTGTTTTATAATCTACACTGACTGAGAGGACAGAACAGAGGATTTACCTGTAATTAACCTGTAAGTGGTTGAAGAAAACATTTTACGCTTCAGTGGAAACTTACAGATCAAAAGCTGAGGACATGTTTCACACAGCACATGTTGAACTAAAAGTAATTAGAGTATTACAGTTTGTGCTAATAGTGAATGCATGACATGCTAACAGCTGCATCATAATTATCAAAACAATTCATTGTTTCAGCTCTGTTGTAAAAATGTTGATGTAAATAAACACATTTTATGTTTAGAATTGGCCAGTGTGTGTTCCATAAACACAATGATAAAGCATTGAGTTTGTCAACAATGATTACAATGTATTAACATTTAGGGATTTGATGTTACATTATTTTACTTAATTAAAAAAAAAAAGTTTAGAAAAATATTAAAAGACCAAGAAGTGCTTTTGGATATCGTTCTACACCACAATCAGAATCACTGAATCAAAGAAAAAACATTCCACCTTGTTAACAGGTCAAAGTGTTAATGTATAAGAATTGCACTTCTGTGATTGTTGTATGTTCTGGCACTGGCAGGACGGTTATGAAATCAGTTCAGGAGAGCTGTTGATGACATCACTTCCTTGGTATCGTGTCCATGTATTTACAGATGATCCCGAGCATCACCTCATCAGCTCCAGCACCGATCGACATTAACCTGGAGTCCCTTTGAATTAAAATTAAAAGTTTTAGTCACGTCATCTGAAATGCAGGCCGACACTTTTCTTTGCACAGAATGTTTTTCTTGACACTTGAAAAATAAACCAAATAAAGTACAACGATCACAAACAAACTCCTGCATGTGTGAGGATGCTGTGTTACCATGGAAACTTGCACCCTTCCAAAGCTGCGTCGCTGAAAGTTGTAATAAAGTAGTTGTGACTGATGCAGCTTTGTCAAGGCTTCATGCCCAGGAGCAAAAACAGAAGCTGCATGCTTTGCTTTATTTTCAACATAAACAACTAATATAAACTGCAGCAAACGTGACTGGCTGGTCCAGCTTACATTTTTAAACTGCCCAATGCTAACACATGCTATCTGAACATGTCAAATCAAGAAATGTAGTTTTTAAGCATAAAGAAGAAGTGCTTGTAGCTCTGTTCATTTTTCAGTCTTACCTGTAAAATCTGCTGACTGGAACATCACTGGTGTAGCCCATTCCTCCCCAGAACTGCAGACAGCTGTCGCTCAGCTCTCTCGCCAAACGCCCCGCCTTTAGTTTGGCCATAGAGGCCAGCTTGGTGACATCGTTGCCTTTAATGTACATGGCTGCAGGAAGAAAAAAGGTTCAGATGAAAAAACACGGTGAAAACCGTCTAGGCTCAGAGTCACCAGGGTCTGGTTTTGTTTTAATATATTTTCTCTGAACTCCACGTCCAGAGATCCATGTTTTTATTTGTGAGTTTCATGCCAACATTTTTCAGTCAGGTCATCTGGACAGTTTCTTTTTTTTTGTGCTGAAACGTTTGTCCTTCGATCCAGAAGGCTTCGTCAGTCAAGGAAACACACAACAAAACTCTAAAAAAGTTAAATCTGGTCCTCTGGACATTCAAAAAAACAAAACAAAGCAAATCAACAATACAGCTCCTCAGACTGAGGAAGTCTCTCGGATGAGAGACTAAACGTTTCTACATTTTTTTGTTGATTTGCTTTGTTTTGTTTTTTTGAATGTCCAGAGGACCAGATTTAACTTTTTTAGATTTTTCTACCTGGATTATTGAGCATGCATCAGGACACAATAAAACTGATTCTTCTCCCAACAGCTTACTCCAAAGTGGAACAAACCAGTTCTGCTTGTGATAAGATGGTCTCTTTGGTACGCCCCCTCCTCCATTGCCGGCCCTCTTCCTTGCTGACAGTCTTGTCAAACTGGTTGAAAACAACAAAGTCCATGCTCAATAATCCAGGTATACAATCCAACATTTTTCAGTCTGAAACATGTTGTATACCTGGATTACTGAGCATGGACTTTGTTGTGAGTTTCATGGTTTCCTTTTCCTGTTTCTATGTTGTTTTTTTTTTAAATTTATTTGTGTACCTGTGCCAAACCAATACACACTTAATTCCCTAAAACCAGGCTCATCACCAATTTTGCAGCACGATGGCTTGGTGGTTAGCACTGTTGCCTCACAGCAAGAAGGTCCTGGGTCAATCCCCGGTTTGGACCTGGGTCTTTTTGTGTGGAGTTTGTATGTTCTCCTCGTGTTTTCTCCAGGTACTCCAGGCCTCCCTTGCAGAAGAGATCCGTGATGTCAATGAGATTTGCCTGGTTAAATAAAGGTTCATAATAAATACATAAAATCTGATGAATTCATTCAAAGCTGCAGGCCACAGAAAAAGAAGCAAGACACCTGCTTGGACCTGGACACCTGCCTCAGGTGCAGCAAGATATTTATATCAAACGCTGCAGCACTTCACGAGGACCTGGGTCATATTCCCTGCTTGCTTTCATAGACTTCCTGTCTAAAGATTCAAATGAATCATTGATTGCCATTTTTGACTTCATATTATCCCTATATACTGTAATTCTGTTTTTAAGGCCTGAATCTTTATCTTTGGGTCATAGTAAGAGCCAAAAACACAAAATTGGCAGTGAATGCCACACACAGTTAAACTACTGACATGTAGAAGCATTAAAAATGCCTTTTTAAAGTGATTGAAAGCAAATAAATCTAAAGCAACACAAGGATACACAAAATGCAAATTGAGAGGAAAGGAGAGGTAGTAGGGCATCCTGTTAAAATTAAAATACATTCGGCTCTAATTATAATAAAAACAGCTTAGACTTTGAAAAGCAGTTCCTTTGTTTTTATCAACAACGTTTCATATATTTGGGCGGCTGTGGTTGAGTGGTTAGAGCCGTTGTTCTCCAGTGGGAGAGTTGGAGGTTTGATTCCACCAGCAGCCAGATGTTGAAGTGTCCCTGGGCAAGACACTGAACCCCTCATAGCCTCGGATGTGTGTCCCAGCAGTGTATGAATGTGATCTAAAGCTCTGATTAGTCTCTTTAGAATGATTTGCTCAATTAGTTTTGTAGGGATCTAGTATAGAGCTGTATGAATGTGAGTGGAGGTAAATGAGACACAGATTGTGTTGTAAAACACTTTGAGTATCTTGATTACAGTATTTAGAAAGGTGCTATATAAGTAAAGTCCATTTACCATTTATATTTAATAATTTCACCCCCCAAAATAAAAGTTTTTATTGTTTTTCATAATGCCTTTTTTCAAAGTGATATCTGCCTCAGTCAGTGCTCTGAACAATTTTTGGAAAACATAAGAAAAGTCAATAAGATGCAGCGTATCCTATCCAGCTGGCATTACCCTTTACTTTTTCATCTTTTTCCAGAGACCCTGTACCTGTAGCGCGGTAGAGGAGGGAGCGGAGCAGCTCGACCTCCGTCTGAAGCTCAGCCAACCTGAAGTGAACCGTCTGGTGATAAAGAACAGGCTGCTTGAAGATCTTCCTCTGCCGTGTGTATTGGATTGTCTCCTGAATGATGCTGTCCATTGTGGTGATGACTGGAAGAGCAGAAGTTGAAAAGAAAAGGTGAAGTCGTTTTCTACATCCTCAGTGACTGCAGACAATCCTGATGTGCAGCACAGCTGGTTTGAGTTAGATGCCTTAAACTGGAGCAGACAGACTGACGTGCTTTCTGTTTCTTCAGAACACTTTCTGTTTCTTCAGAACATTTTCGGTTTCTTCAGAACATTTTCTGTTTCTTCAGAACATTTTCTGTTTCCGAAATGAAAAATAGTTTCAGACAATCTGCCAAGAAAAGTCTGAGTCATACTATGTTCTCAAAATCTAAATTAAAAGCTTGAACTTTGTGACCTGAACCTTTCATTTTCTGTTTTAAGTTTTAACGTCAACAGAAAGAATGCCGAGGAAGAAGATAAAGTGATGGTAAAAACAAAAGCGGAAGAGTGATCTTAGGGCGATAATATCTAAAGACTGAGCGTTGCTTGTGGAGAGAAAGGAAGAACATTACGAAGAGTTCACTCACTATTGGCCACGGCCCAGAGCCGTTCTTCCTGGAACTGAAGCATCTGATAGGTGAAGCCCATGCCTTCCTCGCCAATGATGTTCGTGCACGGCACACGGACGTCGTCAAAAAACACTTGAGCCGTGTCCGATGACCACATCCCCATTTTCTCAATCTTTCGAGCAATGTGAACTCCTTTGGCGGGAAAGACAGGGAATGGAATATCAGAAGTGCAAGACCGGCTTGAAATCACGCAGAATTCAAACATGAGAGCAGCTTCTTGATGCGTCTAACAAACAACACAATTTGACTCCAGCTGCTCCGTTACCTGGCAGGTTCATGGGTAAGCAGATAAGTGATTTGTTCCTGTGGGGGGGTCCATCACTGGTGTTGGCGAGGAGGCACATCCAGTCAGCCTGGGTACCACTGGTGGTCCACATCTTTCCTCCATTTATCACATATTCATCCCCTTTCCTCACCGCCTTGGTCACGATGCCTGAACCCCAGAGGAGTGGATTGTGCAGAAAATGGAAACATTGAGACCCAAAGGTAGATGTTTGTTCAGTAGATGAACACGCAAAGAAATCCAGACATCACTTAGCTGGATGTTAGTTTACTATTTCTGTTAAAAGGCTTTATGTAAATCTAGCTGTTAGTTTTTGAATAATTCTGCTAGAAAAACAGATTAAGAAACAAAGTATTTAACCACATAAGCATTTTTTAAAGACAAATTTGCTATTCTGAATCGAACGCATTAGTAAAGCCAGAAAACAAACAACAAACTTAAAGGAACACAATCTGAAGCAGAGAAAAGGAGCAAACTTAGGGGTGCACCGATTGCAGTTTTCTGGCCGATCACCGATTTTTAAAAAGTCTGACCTGCCGATTCCGATTTTGGCCAAAACTGATTTTGTTTTATAAGCGACACCGTCAGATGTTATAAAGTCACAATACACCTTCCATTGTCCAGTCTTATTTTATTGAAAAACATACTCTTGAACAATATCCTAGAAACAATACAAACTTGTTTTAACTGGCCATGAGGTAGTGCCCTGAAATATAAAAGAAGTTCAGACAACTGTTGTTAAAACTAAAAGAATCGGTAAAATCGGTTTCTAATGCAAGTTATCGGACGATTTCTGATTTCCCAAAATTAAGGAAATCAGGGCCGATTTATTGGTGCACCCCTAAACAAAATGATGATATCTAATGGCAGCAAATGCATGGCCTCATCCTGACAACAGACTTTGAAAAAATGAAATAATAGGAGGACACAAATGTAAGAACTGTAGAAGAAAAGACATACTTGAGACGTCAGAGCCAGCTCCAACTTCACTAACCCCGAGACACGCAACTTTGTCCCCCATAATGGAAGGAACCAGGAACTCTTTCTTGAGCTCATCTGAACCAAACCTGCACAGACGCACACAAAAATGACTAACAAGTAGGCCTGTCACGATAACAAATGTTGCTGGGCGATTAATTGTCTCAAAAATTATTGCGATAAACAATAACATTGTTTGAAATTTGACAATTAGTAATTATTGTCAAATTTAAGAAGAAATGTTGGTTAATTAATTGAGTGTAGGACTTTTTTGACCACCAGATGGCAGTATAAGACCGTTTGAACTGAAAGATGGATAGTGAGGGAGTGAGCAGCGTGTCTCTTTAAGAAAAATGGGAGGGAGACCCTTGACGTGACCTGGACTGTGTCTCCTTCCAGTTTTTCGGTTCTCAAAATGGCAGTCGCTCGGTGTGGTTTCAGCTCTTTAGCATTTTTCACACAAAGCTTTTAATAAAAAAATCAGTAAACAAGTTCTCAGCTTCTTCTTGCAGAGAAAAACAACTTTTTACACAAAGGCACGAGTTTCAACTGTGAATTTTGGAGCTTCGACAAGACAGAGGTTTTTTCCCCCGAGGTCGGCCTGTTAGCTTAGTTCGTAGCTTAGCTGCTTTTAACGATCCAAAAACGTGCTTTTGGATCGTTAAATGGATTTTAAAGATAAAGGAGAAAAGGAGGGGTCAGTGAAGAGCACCAGAGTTGATCCTTTTATCATCCAGTGTTTTCAGTAGAAAGAGAGAGACATGAAGAAACAATAAAGCCGATAAATGAAAATGAGGTTGATCATTTTCATCTATCGTGCGATTAATTGATTTATTGTTTATCGCAGAGGGGCCTACTAACAAGGACAACATAAACCACTTCAGCATCGACACAAAGTTAAGAAAACGTCTCAGATTTCCTGCTACATCTCATCTGATGCTGATGAGAAGGCAAGAGGATAATAAACTTGTCCAACTTTTAAAATATGTTGTGGAACTGTGGCAAAACACAGTCACAGTTACAAGACTGTCAACTCTGTTTCAGGCAACTACAGCTCCACCGGGACAAGAGGGGGACTCCCGTGGTACCGCCCGGCTTTTTGTGCAGCTCTCTTCATGAATAAACCTCGTTTCAGGCGTAAATCTTATAAATCTCTTAATTAAACTCCTGAGACTCCACTAGTCTTTTTACAGAAGTGTGTAATGTGTCACGGACATCACAGCAAACTGAGGCTCTACATGAGTGAGACACACAAATCAGCCAAAACATTAGGACTATTCACTTACAAACTTTTTGACTGCACTTTGAACATAATCATAAAACCACTGAGGTTCATATTTCATGTACTTATGAATGACATAAAATACAGAACGTCTGGCTCAGTAATGTGATTTCTTATAAGAACCAAGAATTGTGGAACCATCCATTCATCAAAATATTCAGCTTAAATGGAATATAATACTTTATTATAAGGTTTTGTTTTCTGTGTAAAAGTACACGAAGAAAGTTGTATTTCATTTTGTCAAGAAGCGCACAGCGTTGTAAACTGTGCTTGGTTTTCATACGTGTGTCATGACGCTGAAATGTTCTGCAGATGCAAGTCTCACCTCTTTACTGGAACATCTAAACTCTGTGCACAGAGTATTCACACATTCTCTTTTATTTTGTAGTAATCTACGACTGTCACAATAAATGATGTGAAATAGAAAGCTTGCTGTAGCCCAACCAGTTGCATCTTGCAGTGTTCATTCACACTTTAAGCAGCAATGAGGACAGTGGGATCAGAGGTTTCAAACATCATACCTGGCCAGTGCTGGAGTGGCCATGTCAGACTGGACACCGATGGCCATGGGGATGCCTCCACAGTGGATGTTGCCCAGCTCTTCAGCCACAGCAACACTGTAGCTAAAGTCAAGTCCCAAACCTCCATATTCTGCACAAAAAAACAGAGATCAAGTCTGGTACTTTACTATTTAGACTTTTTTGTACAATGTACAACCTTTTAAATGTGCTTTTTTTGTTGCATTGAATCATAAATGCAATAAACAGACCCCCCACAAAAAAAATGTGTGTGGGGGGGCAGGGTGTCTGTTTATGAACCCATAAGAATTTTGTATTCTTATGCAATTATTAATATTAATTAATTATTAATTGTTATTCATTATTAATTATTCCATTTTTTAACTTTTTTTAAATGAAGTGGGCCAGATTGAAGTCGCCTGCCGGCCGCCATTTGAATTACCCTGGTTTATAGTTTTATCCCACTAGAGCAGCGATCCTCACAATTGTTTTAATGACGGATCAAAGTCTGTGATATCACCCCAAGTCACTCAAATAAAAGAAAAAAATAAATAAACAACCCACCTATGAACAAAACAGAAACACAGCCAGCACGTGATCTGTTTAAACAAAATGTACCTTAGTACAGAGATGAGAAGCTGTGGTGCGTGTCCTGGACTTTCTTCATGTTGTAATGTGTTGTTGCAGCCACAGTGAGACATTCAAGATGAGCATGGCTCAGTGGGTTTCTGTTTTTGTTTGATAGTGTTCATGGTTAAAAATGTTGACTCACAGGTGTAAAAAAATCAGATTTTATTACGCCAATCCCATGAAGAAAACACAGGTCAACAATAACAATGAATACCAAAGTCCATGCTCAACAATGAATATGCTGTAATATGTGTATGAATGAAGATGCCCCCTTTACATTTCCGCCTGCCCCCTCATGTAACCATGTGTAGAACCGGCCCTGCTCAGATGCTTCACCGCAGATGAGAGCAGGTGCAGAGACGCACGCGGCCGGTGATGATCAGCTGATCTATCTGAAGCTTAACAACTTTTTTTTTACCTCTACCGGCCGGTCGGCAAGTAGATAAACAGTATTATTCATAAAACTGCATCAAAGAAGCCCCAGCCGACATGCACAATTATTGCGCAATGTGCCAGCACGTATTAAAAATGTACTGGCTGTACTGGTGTATTGTTGCAACCTGTCACGAGAGCCACCAATAAAGCATGGCCAGCCGCATGTGGCTCGGGAGCCGCGCAATGAGTATCCCTGCACTAGAGGAATAGTTAGGACTCCTTATGAGTTAGGCTCTGTTATAAATTTATGAAGAATGTACTGTTGTAGAAAGCTCTTTGAACTGCTCCAGTCCAATTTTCAAAAGGGTTTCATTTTAACCAGACTAACCAGCTAACAGAGACCAAAGTGGATTCTATGTGCCAGTAAATAACCAGTGATGTAAAAGCTTATTGTAAAGTGTTCTCATGAACTGCCGTGAAACTTTGGAGATTTCTTTTTAGGACAGCAGCGCAGTGGTTTTAGCCACGTTCAGGTTAGCTGGTATCCATCTAATCCAGTTAGAATTAAACTCTGTTTATCCAAACTGAGACTGCTCAAATAGTCTCAGATGGTCAAAAGATCTGAAATGTCCTTTAAAGGATCAATGGAAGCATGTGGTCTGTTTCACCTTACAGTACTTTAAATTACATAAGAGATGAAATCACCATACACACACTGTTTCCATCCATCCATTATCTTTACCCACTTCTTCATTTTGGGGTCACAGGGGTCACTGGTGTCCATATCCAGCTATCACTGCGTGAGAGGCAGGGGACACTCTGGACAGGTCTCCAGTCCATCACAGGAACACATAGAGACAAACAACCACTCACTCACACCTAGGTATGTATGTATAATAATTTTGATGAGAGCTGTGAGCACCGGAGCATGCACTCAAATTAATAACAGGATGTTATCCTGAATTCCTTCCCCTGTAATTATGAGTAAAAAGCACTGCAGGGATATCAGCAGCACACTGTGGATAAGGGTCACCGTCATTTCAGTCTCATCTCATTCGTTCTCAGAAGTGCATCAGACCTGATGACACTTTAATCCATTTACAGAAAAATTCTACAAAAATGGTGTTAGTTTCCTCGACTCTGACACCGGAGACATTTACAAAGACCTCAGGTCCTTAATGGAGTTGGCTTAGAACATTTTAAACCAAATTTAAAAACCAGAACACCCAAAGGCTCATGTCTTCTTTTTCTTTTGTGTGCCTTTCATTATTAGTCCCAACATCGATTATGAAACAAACAGCTTGTTTTTATACAAACCAGATTCCAAAAAAGTTGGGACACTAAACAAATTGTGAATAAAAACTGAATGCAATGATGTGGAGATGGCAAATTTCAATATTTTATTCGTAATATAACAGATGGCAGATCAAAAGTTTAATCTGAGTAAATGTAACATTTTAAAGGAAAAATATGTAGATTAAAAATTTCACAGTGTCAACAAATCCCAAAAAAGTTGGGACAAGTAGCAATAAGTGGCTGGAAAAGGAAATTGAGCATATAATGAACAGCTGGAAGACCAATTAACACTAATTAGGTCAATTGACAACATGATTGGGTATAAAAAGAGCTTCTCAGAGTGTCAGTGTCTCTCAGAAGCCAAGATGGTAAGAGGATCACCAATTCCACCATTGTTGTGCAGAAAGATAGTGCAGCAATACCAGAATGGTGTTACCCAGCGTAAAATAGCAAAGACTTTTAAGTTATCATCATCAACCGTCCATAACATCATCAAAAGATTCAGATAATCTGGAACAATCGCTGTGCGTAAGGGTCAAGGCCGTAAAACTCTACTGGATGCTCGTGATCTCCGGGCCCTTTAACGTCACTGCACCTCAAACAGGAATGCCACTGTCAAGGAAATAACAGAATGGGCTCAGGAATACTTCCAGAAAACATTGTCAGTGAACACAATCCACCGTGCCATCCGCCGTTGCCAGCTGAAACTCTACAGTGCAAAGAGGAAGTCATTTCTAAGCAAGCTCCACAAGCTCAGACGTTTGCACTGGGCCAGGGGTCATTTAAAATGGAGTGTGGCAAAATGGAAGACTGTTCTGTGGTCAGATGAGTCACGATTTGAAGTTCTTTATGGAACACTGGGATGCCATGTCATCCGGACCAGAGAGGACAAGGATAGCCCAAGTTGTTATCAACGCTCCGTTCAGAAGCCTGCATCACTGATGGTATGGGGTTGCATGAGCGCTTGTGGCATGGGCAGCTTGCATGTCTGGAAAGGCACCATTAATGCAGAGAACTATGTTCAGGTTCTAGAACAACATATGCTCCCATCTAGACGTCATCTCTTTCAGGGAAGACCCTGCATTTTTCAACACGATAATGCCAGACCACATTCTGCAGCAATCACAACATCATGGCTACGTAGGAGAAGGATCCGGGTACTGAAATGTCCAGCCTGCAGTCCAGATCTTTCACCTATAGAGAATATTTGGTGCAACATAAAGAGGAAGGTGCGACAAAGAAGGCCCAAGACGATTGAACAGTTAGAGGCCTGTATTAGACATGAATGGGAGAGCATTCCTATTTCTAAACTTGAGAAACTGGTCTCCTCTGTCCCCAGACGTCTGTTGAGTGTTGTAAGAAGAAGGGGGGATGTCACACAGT